AGAGGTGAGCCCGACTGGCCCCGCACGCCCCCGCACTGCCCCCCCGTCCCGGCACTTCCCCGCACTGTCCCGTCCCCCGCCCCGCACTGTCCCCCCGCACTGTCCGGTCCCGCCCGCCGCACGTCCCCCGCACTGTCCGTCCCCCCGCCCGCACTGGTCCCCGCATTCCCGCCCGCCCCCCGCACTGTCCCCCACCGTCCCGCCGGCCCCCCGCACTGTCCCCGTCCGTCCCCCCCCCGCACTGTCCGTCCGCCCCGCCCGCACTGTCCCCATCCCCCCCCCGACTGTCCCTGCGTCCCGCCCCCGCACTTGTCCCCCCTCCCCGCCCCCGCCTGTGCCCCCCGCACTGTCTCCCCTCCCGCTCCCCCCCCGCACTGTCCCGTTTCGTCCGCCCCCGCACTGTCCCCCCGCACTGTCCCCCCGTCCCGCCCCCCGCACTGTCCCCCGTCCCCCCCCCGCCACTGTCCCCACGTCCCCCTCACTGTCCCGTCCCGTCCCCGCCACCCCGCACTGTCCCCCGTCCCGCCCCCGCACTGTCCCCATCCCGCCCCCGCACCTGCGTCCGTCCCGTCCCGCCCCCCCGCACTGTCCCCGTCCCCCCCCATGCGTCCCCGCCCCCCGCACGTCCCCCGCACGTCCCCTCCCGCCCCCCGCACTGTCCCCCTTCGTCCCCGCCCCGCACGGTCCCCCCGTCCCGCCCCCCGACTGCCCCTGTCCCCGCCCCCCGCATGTCCCCCCGCACTGTCCCGTCCGCCACCGTCCCACCTCCCCGCGGCCCTCCCCTGCTCCGCGCCCCCGCCGCTCCCCACACCCTCCGCCGCCGGAGCGCCGGCTCACCGGGCACACAAGCGCTGTACTCTTGAACGCTTTCCACTGAAGCGTCGTGCGTTTCAAGTCTCCGACTGGCGGTGTGTGCCTGGACGAGGTTACTTAGCACTCGTCCCTTAGTTTCACGTAAATAGAAATAAACACCATTTAACGATGAAATCCCTTGTGAGGTCGGCGTCAGTCAGTGATACTGTGAATCAGGCAGATCGCGCCGAATCGTTGTGAAGCAGGCTGCTGTCTTTGCTGTTACTACTATACTTATCAGTACCCAAGTTAGTTACAAATCCAACTAGACCAGGCTTGACTGTCAGTGTTCTTTGTTTTAACTTTGAGGTTTTTTTTAGCTCCCTCCTCCCCGTCCCCCCCCCAATTTTAATTGTGAAAAATTTTCAAGCCACAAAAGTGAAAAGAATATGTAACATACCGAAACCCTCTGGATTCAACAGTAACATTCTGCCAATCTGCTTTCTATGTGTGTGTTTTTTTTATTTTGAGTCATTTGAAATAAGTGAGATAGGGTAAGTCAGTCCCAACTCACCATTTATCGCTACAGATAAGAACTTTCTTAAAATCTGCTACTATTGCCATGCCCAAGAAAAAATTAATTCAGTAACATCACTAATATAAACTTGTACTCTCATCCCAAGCCTCACCGCACCTCCTCTCCAGACTCAGTCACCTGTTCAAGCATGTTGTTTCACATGGTAGGCATCTCTGAGCTCATGTGACAAGTACGTCCATTCTAGTCAGTAAGCTGAGTTTCAGAGAAAGGCGGCACAGATGCTAGATGAGCTATATTCATGCCCAGGTTAGAAAAGGTTTAAAACCCGTCTCCAACGACTGGACGTGGAACTTCTAATTCCATTTTCCAAAGCTGGGCAGCTCTGAGGATCTGGCAAGCCCTTCCTCCTCTGTGACGTCTCTCATGCGCAGGCCAGCCCTCGGCCACCCGCCTCCTTTTTCATGCTGACGGGGTTTGGGCCTGGCACTTTCGGCCTGGCTTGAATCAGCCTCTCCCTCCCTGACACCTGCAGGTTGAGAGCAACGGAAGCCTGCAGAAACTGATCCGCATCCGAAATCCTGGTGGAGTGAGTGACGGGCAGGGTGGAAATGACAAGTGAGGGCCAAGGGTGTGGGGGCCTGGGCGGGTCGTTTTTGCGAAGATCGGAGAAGAGAAGCCCTGCGGTGGTGTGAAATAAGCCGGGGACACAGGCACCTGGTGGGCCTGGTGCGGGCCCTTGAAGCTCTTTTAACCAGACACGACTTCAAGCTCTGGGGCCTTTGTACACAGCAGGGCCTCACTCTGTACTTCATTCCTTTCACTTGCCTCCTGGTTCGACCCCTGCCAGCTCAAATTCACCTTCTAAGGCTTCGGAAAGTCACCCTGCTCCCCCAGGAATTCTTCCATCCAAGGGCGTAATCTGTGGCCAAGGAAAAGATACCCTCTGTTGATTCCGGTTACTCGCTCGTTGGACCCTGACTATGTGGGGAACTCGGTTTCGCATTCTTGGGTTGCTCTATTCTCCACAGCCAGCAACTACGGCCCTGCCTTTCCCTGCCTTTCCAGGCAACCCTGCAGAGGACACTGCCAAGGCTTCCTGCCAGCTTCATGCAGAGGCTCAATGGGATACTCTCATCAGATCTTTCAGTGCCCTAAGTTGCCAGGTCCATCTCAAATTGGGTTGTGCTATTCATCTCTGTCGATGGGCTTGTTCATTTTCTGGACTTCTTGGCACCTTTGCAGGATAATCGCCTTTGCCCTGCCCTTGGCTGCATCTGTATAGTGTATCTGTCATTATACTTTTAAAGTGCGTAAGACTGTGGTCCAAGCCCAGGACCACACAGCAGAGTGAGCAGCCACCAGGTTGGGCAGGCATGAGGAGCTTCCTCTGTATTTACATCCACTCCCGAGCTGGGCTTGCCATGCTCACATCCCGCAGCAGCTCCGCCTCCTGTCATCAGCAGTGACTTAAGTCTCATAGGAGCGGGACCCTGCTGTAAACTGTGCACGTGAGGGTTAGTGCGTCTCCTTCACGGAGAATCTGATGCGAGGAGGGAGGTGGAGTGAGCGGTAGATGCCTGGCTGACGCTGCAAATACGATGATCGTTAGCAGGGCTTGACTGCACAATAAACGTATCCCCCACTCCCAGTCCATGGAAAATTGTCTCTATGAAACCAGTCCTGGCAAACCAGTTGGGGACTGCTGCGTAACGAGTATTTAAGTGTGCTCTTACCAGATGGGATTCCCCCTTCTGGAGTCCTGGCTCTCGGAGGTGGAGTGTTTTGTCCCAACACTGGGAGACTGGGAGAAGTCCATGTCTCACAGCATGTTAATGCTCTCTCATTGCTTGTTTTAGGCTGCCAAACTGGAACACGTAACCCAGAAGGTAGAGAAAGGCTGACCAGACGCGAAGATGGGGAATTCTGGTAGATTGGAGAGGCTTCAGGGCCTCAGTTCTTACTAGGAAATCTCTAAAAGAATGTCTGCCAGAAAGTGTGTGCCCGTCGAGAGCACAGAGGTGGGTCCTGTTTTGTCGTTGTTCAAATACAACTTATCTTTCCGGCGCCCGTGACGGAGTACGCGTGCCCCTTCACCAGCTTCTGGAGCGTGACGGCCTCCGAGTCCGCGGCGCTGGTGATCTGCAAAGAGGAAGCGCCGCTCAGCCGCCGGCCACAGGAGGACGGGGCGCGGCGAGCCAGCCTGAGAGCCGGCCCGCGCCAGGCGCTCGCGGTCTGGTCTGCGGGCGGGGGTGGCCCGCGCCGGGCGCTCGCGGTCTGGTCTGCGGGCGGGGGTGGCCCGCGCCGGGCACTCGCGGTCTGCGGGCGGGGGGCGCGACGGCGCAGGGCTGGCTCGCCACCGCTGCGGTGTTGAGAGCTCCTCAGAGCCCCCTGTCCCGTCTGTCCCGGTGGAGGCTGCAGACGGGAGGAAAGGCTGAGAGGGCCTCCTGCCTCGCATGTTCTGCTGGAAGAGTTTGGGGGTTACGCCGTGGGGTCTGCAGAGGTTTGGCCCCCAGAGCCAGGGCTTCCTCTCTGTGCGGGCAGCAGAAACCAGCTTCCCGCGCGGACCGCAGTGGGCTCGGCCGTGCCCCAGGGCTCCGGGGGACTGCGCGAGGTCCCCCCCTGGGGCGGCTCGCCGCGAGGCTGCTGGGAAATGCTTTCTTGGCCCCGGGACGGGTGCAGGGCAGGCTGTGAAGCCCTGCACGTGGAGGGCGGCGTCCTCAGCGAACCTGGGGTGCGGCGTTCGGGGCAGGCAGAGCGCGGGAAGCGGGCTGGGAGCGGAGCCACCGTTCCCCATCCACTGCACCCCCAGGCCTCCAGGCGATAGCAATATGTTGCATGCTGGGACTCAGAAACCGCTACCCCAAAACATGGTGCTATGACGTGCAGAACTGAACCGGAAGCCTCTCAAGGTCTCTTCCCTCCCTCCACGCCCTCCTCTTGTGTCTCCCAAGGCGGGGTTTGAGGTTGTTCTCTGAAGCTCCCCAAGAATAAAGCAATTACCTTGAGTCCATTCCCTGACTTTTCATTAACTGAACTCATATCCCAGGAAGACAGACTGAAGTGTGTTAATGCACTTGGAGAGACTTTGGTCACAAACCAGTCTTGCTCTGCAGGCCAGCAGATTTTGTCTCAGGCCACTGTATGCTCTTTGAGCCCAAATAAAGCAATCATTTACTACCCGCCTAAAATCATCCATGTTCCCATCTCCCTTTCCCCTAAGAAGGGAGTGTGTAACCATTTGCCCCACTGCATGGCCGGGCAGTCGCTCTGCGGTTCTCCCCGTGCACGGTCGTAAATTTGGATGCCTTTTCTCCTATCTATTTGCCTTTTGCCAGTTTTTTTTCAGTGAAGCGTCAGAGGGTGAGGGTAGTTTTCCACTGGCCCCACACGAACAAGGGGTGTGTATGTTGCAAACAGGGGCAGTGGGTTTCCCTGGGCACTGCTGGAGTCCCCGTCAGCACGAGCACCCCGGGAGTAGGGTTGGGGGCTGGGCTTACGTCGATGGAGCAGCCGAGGAGAGAGCCTTTCTGCAGAGCCGTCTCGATGATCCTGAACAGGTTGGCGGGCGGCTTCTGCAACTCGTACCACTCCGCGATGCCTCCAGTGAAGTCCTCGAAGCCCTCGGTGGTGGCGCCCCCTGAGAGCGCTTCGTAACACCCATTGACCCTGCAGGAGGGTGGGTGCTGCTGACGCTATCACCTTTCAAAGTATCATCGCCCACCCCGCGGGTCCCCTGCATTCGATGCTCCGGGGACCCTCTGCTCACGGTCTCCTGGCTCTGTCTCCAATTCAGGGGCCATACAGGCAAGGTATTATGGCCGCACATACCACTTCCCTGGTACTTTGTGGAGTTTTAAAAAACATCTCATAGAACCTTAGAGTTGGAATGACCTCAGTGATTTATCTGGACCAACCTCCTGTATTGTATGGATTCTTCCTATGTCCTGACAAGAAAAGGGAGGTCTACTAATTGGCTGTTTGGCATTTAGACCTTAAAGAAAGACAACAATTCAATACAAAAGCAGTTTTTTAGCCAGGCATAGTGGCATGTACCTATAGTCCCAGCTACTCGGGAGGCTGAGGCAGGAGGATCGCTTGAGCCCAGGAGTTTGAGGTTGCTGTGAGCTAGGCTGACGCCACGGCACTTTACCCCGGGCAACAGAGTGAGACTCTGTCTCAAAAAAAAAAAAAAAACCAATTCACTATAAGACCTTGAACTTTAAAAATTCCCCTTAGCCTGGGTGACAAAGCGAGGCCCTGTCTCAGAAAAGAAAAGCGGTTTTCCTGAGGAACAGGCACGGTGCTGCGAGGGCAGCTGCTGCGGACAGCCGGTGCTGGACCGCGGCTTCCCGAGCGGTGTGAGCAGTGCGAGGGGGAAGTGTCACCAGGCCCGGGTTCTCACGGCTGGGTGCGTGCACATTGCCCCTCCTTCCGGGCATGGGGCTGTGAGGAGGAGAGCCACCTGCTGCCTTGGAGTGGAGTCACTTTAATAGAGGGAGCCAGGCAGCATGGCCGGGACAAGGCCGTGCTGGGGAGGGGCCGGTGGGGCTTCCTGCCGAGAGGGGCAGCCCTGAGCACCCGACACTCTCGCCTCTCGGCAACCTGGTGGGCAGAGGCTGGGAGGAGATGGGGAAGCCATTTCTGATCAGCAACACCATATATCCTGGGCAAGTTTCCACAGCTTTCCTACCTCTGCATTGGTTTGTTTTGCTATTGGCAAAAATTGCTCCTTTTAGTCGATAAAAATGTAAAATATGTCCTGCCAAGGAAGTAGAGTCCTTCTCAAGGCCAGCACAATCAGCACTGACTTGTTCCTGTGCATTTGGTTAAAAATGCCAATAGCTGGCTGGGCGCGGTGGCTCACGCCTGTAATCCTAGCACTCTGGGAGGCTGAGGCGGGAGGATTGCTCAAGGTCAGGAGTTCGAAACCAGCCTGAGCAAGAGCGAGACCCCGTCTCTACTAAAAATAGAAAGAAATTAATTGGCCAACTAAAAATATATAGAAAAACTTAGCCGGGCATGGTGGCGCATGCCTGTAGTCCCAGCTACTCGGGAGGCTGAGGCAGGAGGATTGCTTGAGCCCAGGAGTTGGAGGTTGCTGTGAGCTAGGCTGATGCCATGGCACTCACTCTACCCTGGGCAACAGAGTGAGACTCTGTCTCAAAAAAAAAAAAAGCCAATAGCTGACAATTATCAGTGCATAATCATCTCCTTGAATTCAGAGCCCGATCTTGGCCACAGTAGTCCTTCTATTGAAGAGGACTCCTGCTCAAAGTAGTCCTTGAATAATTCCTGTTTTTCTGAATCCAAGGCAGTGGGGCAGGCCATGGCGAGTGGGAGGGAGGGACAGCCACTTACTTGGCATATGCCTTCTCCAGCAGGGCACTCCAGAACTCACTTCCCTCGGCCGAATGCACAAAGAGCAGCTCCCCGTCCTTGGTGGGCAGCCTGTCATCCACCACCACCTCTACCCACTCGCCATACTGCCAGAACTGCAGGACGAGAGGGACGGCGTGGAGTGGGTGGGCTGCAGGAGGAGCTGGAGGCAGCACTGGGACCTTGAGCCTCAGCTGCACCTGGCTCCCCCCTCCCCCCCCCCCCCCCCCCCCCGCCCTGTCCCTTGGCGCAGGCTCCTCGAGCAAGCGCACCCTGGGAGCAGGTGCCCCGTTGACTGTCCTGCTGCAACAGGTCCTCGCTAAGAAGCAAAGACGGCAGAGACACTTGTCCATCCCTCCCAGTCCACACCCACCTCTTTAGCCTTCTGCCCTGCACCTTCGGCTTTTTAAAATATTATTTTTCATTTACTAGGAAAAAAGGAGAACTGTAACATTTTGTCTCAAACCTCAAGTAATGAAGTTTTTGTAAACTTGGGAATTACTTCCTGAACACTTTGCTCTGCCTCTCTCCTTGCCTGCAACCGTGGCAGGGTCCCAGGGACGCTGGCGTCCTCTGTAGAAGAGCACTGGTCCTGGGAGTCCGCCAGCACCGGGGACCCAGGACCCAGGGGACTGTTCCTAGCTCCTAGGACCTGCTGAGAAGCTTAGCCAACCACTGAGTACCTGGAAGTGGAAGATCCCTGCATAGTTTTCCTGGAAGCTCTGGTTTAAGGGGACCACTCGAGCCAGGACTTCTTCATTCAAGGTGAGGGAGGCAATGGCAGCCAGCAGCCAGCAGTCACCTGTGAACATAGCACACGGAGCTCTCGTCAGAGAGGTCTCAGGACCAGGGGGTGTTAAAGATCTTGTCCCCACCTCTGGGGGCTTGACACTTAAGCCCTGAACAGACAGAGTGACGTTTCAGACAGTCCTCATCTGAGAGTTAGGGCAGAGGGTCTGGGTGCTACTTTGCAGGAAATGGCAGAGGGAGAGATGTTTTTGTTCTGCTGTGGCTGCGTCCAGATGGAAACGCGTTCCCTCAGAGACGCAGGGACCCATGGTGGCTGAACTGAATCCTCAGGGCCCAGCCCAGCGCCCGGTGCACTATGGACTGAATGAATCCGGCTCACAGCAGAAGCTTCTGAGAAAACAGGCTTTGAAGGGGAGTTCGAGGGAGAAGAATAAAGTGCAGTGACAGGTGGGAAGGGGTCGAATGTGGCACACCTCCTAGCAGAAGGGTTCAGCGGCAGGAACAGAGACGCCAGCAGGCAAGTCGCTGGCAGGAAGCACAGGCAACACAAATGGAATGGCCTGAGTCGGTGCAGAGGGCTGGACTGTTTCCAAGGGTCCTGTGAGGGGCCAGAGGTCACTTCTAGGGGTGGATAAGGATGGAGACAACGAGATGGGCAGCGACTCAGGCAGCCTGGCCCCTCTCTGAGCCTCAGGACCCGCTCCCAGGACATGGATAAATACAAGGCTTCATGAGAGCAGTGTGTGATGCACTCAGCCCCCACCCGCCACCTGCGCTAGGTGCTCAGCAGAGAGCACCGCGACCAGTGCACACGGTCAGTGCACACCTTTGGAAGTGAGCTGAAGCCGGAAGGAGCAGCAGCCCCCCAGCTTGCAGGCAGGGGTCATGTCTACCACAAACATAACAAAGGGGAGGGATCTGGGAAGAGGATGAGGAAGTTCCATTCCTCCATTCTTAAGGAATGTGCACTTTCCTACAATTTCCCATGACAATAATAGGAAATAGCCTCAGATGCGTCTGATTCCTTGTTGGATTTATTTTTGCTAGTTGACAGATTTATTTATTTATTTATTTATATTATAAATATTTTCTTTTCTTTTTTTTTTTTTTTTTCCCAAGCTAGAGTGAGTGCCGTGGCGTCAGCCTAGCTCACAGCAACCTCAAACTCCGGGGCTCAGCGATCCTACTGCCTCAGCCTCCCGAGTAGCTGGGACTACAGGCATGCGCCACCATGCCCAGCTAATTTTTTGTATATATATTTTTAGTTGGTCAATTAATTTATTTCTATTTTTGGTAGAGATGGGGTCTCGCTCAGGCTGGTTTCGAACTCCTGACCTTGAGCAATCCGCCCGCCTCAGCCTCCCAAAGTGCTAGGATTACAGGCGTGAGCCACCACGCCCGGCAGATTTATTTAAAATGTTATTGAGAGGCCGGGCTCGGTGGCTCACGCCTGTAATGCTAGCCCTCTGTGTTAAAGCCGTGTTAAAGCCGAGGGTAACACGGCCCAGAGAGCTTGAGTGCACTGCCAGCATTAAACTGGGGCAAGAAAAGGTTTAAAAGGTGTAGACAGCTATCAGATCTAAGACAACCTTTTGGGTCAGTGAGGCCTTTCCAGAAACTGACATAGAGACTCTCTGACACGCTGAAAAGAAGGAGTTTGGGGTGAAATTTGGCAGTGCTTGTTTTTAGCTCTGGCTAGGAGGAAGACGCTGAGGTATCCCTTATTGATGGGGACAGACATCCACCCGGAGGGCCTTTTCCTGCCTGATTCCACATGGCACCTGACATGGACCAGTAAAACAGATGGCCTTCAGACCTTTTCTGAGCAGCCACTATTCTCCCACTCTGACCTTATTATACTGTCCCTCCTGGAGGACACATTTAGCACCTGCCAGCTGTTCCTGGGGTCATGGAGCCTCCACCTTCAATCCACTCCTCCTCCTCTAACATCAGGTCTTTTTGTGACTTGAGCCCTTCTTTGTGAACCTGCAGATGCCTATGGTTCTTACTTTGAGCTTATTTGAGATTTTATAGGCATCTTGCAAACTGCTTGGATTTGAGTCTGTCAACACATGGAGGCAGAAAGACGTGTGGATAAAATGGGCCCAGGTACAGGCATTCCAGAGACGGGAGTCCCGAGCTAAATACTCCCACAGCTCCTGTCTCCCATCAAATCCAGGTGCCCCCTCCTGAGAGCTGCCGGGTCTACGCGACTCCAGGGGTGGCCGTCTTGGTGCCCTTCCTGCTCTGTTTCCCTTGGTCCCAAGAATCAATGTTTCTAAGTCATGCAGGTATGTAGGCGCCACAGAAGCGTATCTGTGGGACTGGTCAGCTGCTTTTACAGTCTTGGAGGTCACAGCTGACCACGCTGCTACTCAGGGGACGATGGGACCAAATGCATGAAGGCTGGCTTCAGAAGTGGCACTATTATCTTGTGGGTCATACATCTAGGTCAGTGCTGATGTGCCCCCATCTCAGATTACCGTTCCGGCCACATCCCAGGGACCATGTTTCAGGGGCTTCCAAGTTTCTTTCTTCGTGTCCCAGAAGCCTATCCCCTGCTTATCCCCGTGGGAGCACGGCCTCATCTCCCGCTGCTGTTTTCATCTCCCTGTTCCAAACTATAATCACTTGTTTCCTCTGAAAGGATTCATGACCCTAGAACATTTCCTAGATGAGGAAACTGTGGCTGTAAGAGACCAAGCTACTCGCTTTAGGTCACATGTCCAGGCAGGGGCAGAGCCAGCACCAGAACCTGGATCTCTCAACTTCTAATCTATCCTCTTTCCACAAGCAGGAATAAAAACCCTAATGAGTAGGTAATATTTGTATACTATTTTGTAATTTGCAAAGAAAATTTTACACGTTTTATTTGGTCCTCACAGAAATCTTAGGAGATGATCACCATTATCATCATCGCCGTTTTGGGATGAAGAAACCGAAGCTCAGGTCTGGAGCAGAAAACTGGCAGGTCCCGCGTGCACATCCTCTGAATCTGAATCGTAGGTTTTGAGAACTACACCCTGACAGCAATTTCTTTTGGTTAAGAGTATCTAATTCCTTTAACTAAGGAGAGACCCATTAGGAATATCCCACTGCAGTTTGAATTTAACAGGAAGGGTAATAAGCTGGCAGCTTCATTAAGTCCCATATTGTATTTTAATAAGGGAATACCCACTGGCTCATGAAATATTAAAACATGTCACCTATTCAATGTACCATAATTCACCAAGACAACACGCCGGTCTGTCATTGAGCAGCCAAGAGACACCGGCAAAGGCAAAAGAAAACAAAGAATTGCATGCATTTTACAGTCAAAAATTCAAATTTTTTTTTTTTTTTTTTTTTTGAGACAGAGTCTCGCTTGGTTGCCCAGGCTAGAGTGAGTGCCATGGCGTCAGCCTAGCTCACAGCAACCTCAAACTCCTGGGCTCAAGCAATCCTGCTGCCTCAGCCTCCCGAGTAGCTGGGACTACAGGCATGCGCCACCATGCCCGGCTAATTTTTTGTATATGTATTAGTTGTCCAATTAATTTCTTTCTATTTATAGTAGAGACAGGGTCTCGCTCTTGCTCAGGCTGGTTTTGAACTCCTTACCTCAAGCAATCCGCCTGCCTCAGACTCCCAGAATGCTAGGGTTACAGGCGTGAGCCACCGCGCCCGGCCTAAAAATTCAAAATCTTTTAAAAATCAGTTTTCCAAACCCTAGAGTTGAGGGAGACTTAGAAGCTACTAAAGAACACCTTGATTTCTAATAAGGTGGAAGCATTTGAAATCCTATTTTATACTTCTGTTCCTTACCTCTTTCCTTCACCAGAATCAGCAAAATGTTTTGAACTCGGTCAGGAAGCTCCTTTACCTAGCTGATCTCTTTTACTCACTTTGTTACCTGCTTGTACAGCTTTCTCAGTGACAAGATCTGCACGATTACAATAGTTTGCATTCACAAAGACTTACTATGTGCCAGGCCCTGTGCTGATAATGCTTTATGCACATCATCATGTTATCTCATTTCACTGTCTCAAAACAGGTTGAGGTAGGCACTATGTTCATTCTACTTCATAGTGGGGGAAACTGAGGTTTAAGGAGGTTGAGTGGGGACCAAAGGTCTCCACTAATGATTAGCCGTCAGGTCTGTCTGTGCAAGACATGTGCTTTTAATATGCAACCAGACGGTCTCCTTTGCAAATAGGCTGGCGTCAATTTTGAACTCACCTAATTCAGAGGACATTGTCTTGGGGACTTTTATCCCTGAGAGGTGACTCGATTACGTTCAGCGTCTGGGCTGCAGTGTGCTCCACCAGGGCACCCCACATCCACCAGAGGGTTCTCTGGACCAGGAAACCTGTCAGTTACAGCCTCACTCAGACCCGCCCTTCCCCGCGGAGGGTTCAGATCCTTAGTTCTCTCCATCAAGGTCAGAATCGACCTTCCCTTAAGTAGCTTATCAAACCCTTCTCTTCTGGGGAATCCTGCAGTGTGACTTGTACCGGCAGGTGGCCTGACTGGAGCAGTCGTGCGTCTCCTCTCAGCGCAGCCTGTCCGCAGCTGCTTCCTGGTCCGAATCAAAGCAGGTCAGTCAATCCTGCACGGGTGGGATGACCAGTTTAACTTGGATGCTATAAACCCTATGGCCCCAACTGGTCTTAGCTCCAGGAAAGCCCCAAGGAGAGCCTTCCAGTGACTGAGGCCTCTCCTGTAATCTTGCCATATGGATGGGACTAGAAAAAGGAAGATCTATAGGTTTTTAAATTATGCATTGATAAGGGACTCTGGACTTCAGCAAATAGTGTTTTCCTCATGCTTTTTTTTCTTAAGCCCTGCTTGCCAGTCACATAAGGAATCGTGGCAGATGGGAGGGTGGGATGGCCACCTAGACCTTGGGACACCTCTGAGGACTGTCTCTGGACGGTGTACCCTGCACAGCACAAACTCCGCCCACCTCTCCTGGGGGCTTTGGCAGTTGTTACACGCGTCAGCCTTCCTGCCTAGGTCCGAAGTCTGTGTACGCTTGGTTACCTGTTGACAACTTTTGATTCTTAATTACTCCAT